CGGAATCATGAAACATCGTAAACCGAGCTTACATCGACACGCTAGGATTCAACAGAACTGACTTTCTGCGCATTTCGCACAAAAAGACAGCAGGTGTTTACAGTAGGTTCGTGATTAATTGCTAATGTTTGTACGGGGAAAAATGAACGTTGCCCTACAAAAACCTTCAAAAGATAAAGGTCATGGGTGGAAATATTAGAACAGCGAATAATTACACATTAACATACGCCACACCTTCTTGCTTTGATGAACTTCATGATCTTCCGGAAAGAGACTGGATACGTTTCACTGGGGATTCGAATGACGGTGCATTAACAAACTTGGCCAGAATTTTTTTGAGGTTCCGATTACCTGGACCACTTTTTTTCGGGGATAGAAATATCGAATTGAACATCGGCTGAGCATCATGAGCATAATCACCGCTGTAAGAACAAACGCTGTTCATATCCCAGGATCCACCAACTATTGAAGTCGTAGCCATTCCGAGGAAATCGAGCCAAGTCGGCTTAATCTCATTGACGACACTTGCGGATTTTTGTATTTTTTTAACCACCAAAGAAACCTTGGAGAATGTCGAGCATTAGTGAAAAGAAATAATGAAAGCGGTACGGAATATATCCTGCACGGTTCGACATGGCCTGCTATGCGCGGGATATATGCTTCTCACGCAGTCGTCAATGTGTTTAACACATAAGCTGGTGGCAGAAAATATGGGCCGCCAGTTTGAATCTTGCCTATCCCACCGCATCGTCGCAAATTTTTCTCATCAGTATGACTATCTCAAGAAATTAATGCAACTACCTGGCAGCCGAGTGAGGGCGGCATGTGCAGTGACATTCAGTGCGCGCTCACCACGCGAGCGGTCCGGGATCAAATCCTGGGTCGTGAGTCGCCCGGGCCAACCAAGCCTTCCATCCCTCCGGGGTCGGTTAATTGGTACCAGACTTGTCTGGGAGGATAAAAAACACTGACTTGAACATCGGCTGGCCCCCGCAAGTCATTGTATAGGCCACATCGCATTCAAACGCCACTGCGAATGTACAAATGGAAGTAGAATGCGTGCCGCATCCCAAAAGGGATTGATCAACGGCAAATGCTTTATCCTTTTTATCCTTAACTTCGTAAAGCATACATTATACGAAGTTATACGATTCAGTATACCGCGTATCATAAGTTCGCGGACCCTCGGAGATTAAATAGATAACCGATGGGAATAGTATGAGAGGAAAAGCTTCGCTAATCCAGATTAATACTATCGAAATGAAATCGCTGAGGCGTATTCGATAATGGCGATAGATTAGGATAGTAGTAGAGAGGAGATTAGGATAGTAGTAGTAGATTAGGATAGTGCGCTGACAAGATTAGATATGTATTGATCTATTCGCTTGAAGTCGCCCAATCTACTACTCTCCAGCGATTTCAATCGATACGTATCCTAATCTTGTCAGCGCAATCTCCTACTCTACTACTATCCTAATATCCTGTCGCCTACTATCCTAATCTCCCGAGTCGCGAACTATGAAACACGGCCTCAAAGGACACTCCACTGTGTTCTGCAACACTTACGCTAAGAATTAAAGTGCTCACACGTAATAAATCATTTGAAGTGTACTGCTGATAAGTACCGGTCTAGTAAAGGAATACTGAAGTACTCCATTTTTTGGCCTACAATGGTTCAAGAAAACGGTCTTGAATCAGGGATTAGAGAGGTTCCCTCGGCCAAAAGACGGAGGAGCTCCAGGATGAACGACATGGTGCAGGATTTGAGTAAAACATGGGAAGTAGGTGTGAAATTACCACCGGCCTTATCGAAAGTGTGCTCCAAATGAGTCGGTCACATATAACCTTACAAAACACAAGATATCATAGAGTGCCCTCACCCCTACTGGATTTTCACCGCATGCTGCGTAATGTGCCACTACGCTGCTTCTCCAAATACGCGCCAGCCTTCCAGTCATGCGCACACATCATATATTGACGCTCTTCGCACTTTCCACAGTATTCGCCCTGTCTGCACTGTTGGCACCGGCGCACAGTATAACCGTAGCCTTACTAATCTACGAATGGACTTGATTGGATGTCAGTGTATTCGGAAGTGGGGGTAGGGGGGGGGGCGGACAACGGAGCGCCAGTCGCCGATGTCAACTCTTTGCGATGACCAGATTTTGCACCAACTTCAGGAGCGCCGGTCGTGAGCGAATGAAATTACCCCGCCGAATACCGCATACACCACATCGCTGCTCGGTAATCCCCGTCCTCGCACATCGCTCACAGCGAATTCGTCGCTCCTGCAATTGGTGCTAATCGTCAATCGCAAAGTCCGACATCGGCCAGTCGCTCGTCTGCGATCTCCCAAAGAAGCACTTCGACACTTTCAGCCCCTGGATTGGCCATAGTCGTGCCGCTGGCTGGCTGGCCTCAACTACAGTAGCACTGCAAAGCCCTTCGAAAAGAGTAGCGCGTCAGGTGAGAAAGGATAGGAACGAGCAGCAGTAAAAGTGCCTGAGCAACTCCAAACTACAATGCTCTAATTTTAACAAGAAAATATTGCGGAAGGCGAACAGCGATCGGTAGGCATTTGAGCCATTATATCGCGAAATGCATTGATATAAGTCTGCAGATCTTGCACTCTTCTTTGATTGCCGGCTATCTTAGTTGTACATGCGACGGGCGCGGCCGCTCCTGTCTTCTGCCCATCCAGGCAGTCCTCAAGGCGCGAATTAGAAGAAACTGCCCATATAGCAAATCGTAATTCCTCTAGGACGATCTTTGGGGAGCAGAACGAAGCTATGAGCGCCCCGCGTCACCGCGTCGGCCCCCAACTAAAGCACTCGATGAGCCCTTACAAACAAAACAGGCCGACTACAAGAGGTACTAGTTTCTACATCTGAAAGAGAAGTGGAACGCTAGCAGACTCTTTTATCGGGAGTATGTACAAGCATTAGTCACATAGGTAGAGGAGCACGCTTTCTTAACGAGCGATAGAACCTTAAGCAGCTGTGACAAGGTAACCAAAAGGGAAGTTCACAGGTCTAGTTCAGTTCGCACTGAAAGATAAGGAGTTATGACAATACTGCGATGAAGGTAGTAAACTTCAGATAAAAACGCGATAAGGCAGTCTGGGTCACACCTTATCACTCAAACTGCTATCAGATCGGAATTACGGCGTCAAAAAACACTATTAGGGCTGCAAAACTACTGATTTATAGTTTATGCAGTACAATAGGAATCATTTTCTTTGATCCAGTGATTCGTATTCGATTTTTTTTGTCGGCCCCAGGCGGTAAAAACGACATGAACATACCGAATAAATCAAACAGTTCAGCTGTTAACGCCGGAATAAGCTGCATTACCCTGTCACGAGTGAGAGTGGACGTTTAAAAATAGTATGATTTGGACTTGGTGGCAGAAGATAAAAACGAAAAATGTCCACTCTGAAAGCGTAATGGAGCACTGTCACAACCATGAGAATTTTGCATTTCAAAGAATCACGCATCCAAGGTTCCTCTGAATCTAATGATTCAGCTATTAAAATAACATATTAGACCGCGTTCATAGTTCAACTTCGGAATATTAGAGACAAGGAAAGATGTGTACTGACAAGGAGGTAGGATAGTAGTAGATTAGGAAGTGCGCTGACAAGATTAGATATGTATTGATCTATTCGCTTGAAGTCGCCCAATCTACTACTCTCCAGCGATTTCAATCGATACGTATCCAATCTTGTCAGCGCAACTCTACTACTATCCTAATATCCTGTCGCCTACTATCCTAATCTCCCGAGTCGCGAACTGTGAAAGCGGCCCAAGAGATGATATTCCGCTGAAAAGATTAGATACTTGTCGATTGAGATCGCTGGAATGACTCACTACCCTAATATCCTGTCCCTTAATCTCCCAACCTCCCAAATCGCCAAGTATATATGAACGCAGCCTTAGAAGCGAAAAATGTCAAGTTGATAAGATTGGAAGGTTGCCAGTAAGTCATACTCAGAGGGACGCGTCCCTCGCCGCTATTTCAATCTTAAGGTTGGCAGAGACAGGGTTGCATTACAGGACTCGCTATTACACGTTGAACGTCGTAGCTTCCCACCCCTGTTGAAGCACTTTTCTCTGCGGTCTCGCGCTGCTCCAGCTGCCTGAAAGGTAGACACGCAGAGGTGTGGCAGGTCCCGTTGCACAACTCTGTCTCCCCATCCTAGGATGGAGAGGATGAGGAGGGTATTAGCGACGACGCGTCGTCTAGAGAATGTTTGGATTCGGCCCCTGGACGCCCAAACATCGAAGAAAATGAGAAATGCTTACGCACCTCGAAGTCGCATTCCCATCAGAAGGATCAGTAACAGAACTCCCCCCACCTCCTAATCGACTGCATCTCACGAAATATCGAGGAAGACGCTTTGTTGAACCAACGGTGATCCAGCTTCTGATTGATGAAGGTCGTCAAAACCCCACTTCAATTCTGATCTATGAAGAGGCACAAAATACACTCCCTACCATCTAGACAGTCTTCAAACTTCATTCGTTCGCCATCTTAACGTAGAAAAGTGATGAAGAATAAAAAAGAGACAGATGTCAAATGGAATTAGTTATTGAAGGAAGTGCGGCGGGACACATCGACGCGTGAAGTGAGGGAGTACGTCTGCATATACACTTCCGCATTTAACTTTACGTCCAGTTTAGAGATGTTGTTTGTGGCGATGAAGTTTTGTTATTTTTGTGCGGATGTCCTCTTTAACGAACATTTGCCTTGTAGTCTGTGTAACTGTGGCGTTGTTCGGAGTTATTTGAGAGTGTTCCGACGGGACAGAAGGTGTTGAGTACAATATGCACAAGTCGTTGAAGTTGATGAGCCGGGGATTTACAAGTTTTTCCACTGACAAACGTTCATTTAAGGGCTTGCGGGTAGTTCTTGTGCGAAGCATTTCCTTTTTCTCTCACATTTGTTCTTGAAGCGATAATTTAGTGGTTTTTTCTTCCACTGTAAGTTTATTTCAGTACATGCTATTGTCGCCAGTTTACTGGGCGGCAAGAAAGCGTGAGGATCGAAGACCTTTGTACAGACGCATACTCACGAATCGGCGCCTTGATATCATTCATAAAAGTAAGTGTTCCTTCGCCGGTAAGAGTGCAGAAATCAAATTTATTGGTAACTGAACTTCCTCGTTTTAAGTTTGTTTATTCAAGGCGCTAAGCTGTTATTCACTGAAGGTGACGTAGGAGAGGAGTTTTAGTTAATGAATTGCTTCCTTTATTGAATACATATATTTGCCATACTTATTTCTGAAAATTACATGGTTTGTACTGCATACCTTTCAGCCTTCATTCGCTCGATCCTTGGATTCATTTTGTTCAGTACTTCGTACTGTATCGTGAATACCGGAATATACTATAAGTTTGTGAGACCGCTCCGTCAAGAGGAACGTGAGCTACTAGAACGCGAACTAATTGAGGCAGATCGCGCTGGCTTCAAAGTAAATTTGAAGTAAGTTTTCATGCGAATGCTAATTTGAAAGAGATGGCAAAACTAAAAAAAAAAAAAAAAAAAAAAAAAAAAAAAAAAAAAAAAAAAAAAAAAAAAAAAAAAAAAAAAAAAAAAAAAAAAAAAAAAAAAAAAAAAAAAAAAAAAAAAAAAAAAAAAAAAAAAAAAAAAAAAAAAAAAAAAAAAAAAAAAAAAAAAAAAAAAAAAAAAAAAAAAAAAAAAAAGAAAAAAAAAAGAAAAAAAAAAAAAAAAGAAAAAAAAAAAAAAAAAAAAAAAAAAAAAAAAAAAAAAAAAAAAAAAAAAAAAAAAAAAAAAAAAAAAAAAAAAAAAAAAAAAAAAAAAAAAAAAAAAAAAAAAAAAAGAAAAATTTTTTATTCTTGCATACAACAACGACGTCTGTTGACTGTAAAATAAAAAGAGTCGCTATCTTGTCCCTAGATACCGTATGATAAATAAAACACTGAAATGAATTGCTGGACCAATTCTTCTAACTATTCGAGCAAAAACTTAGTCCGAATTGGTTTATAACAATATTACCTTGTAGGACGAACAGCCCGTAATGCATAATTGTGAAGAAGTAGTCCAGGTACATGTGAAAAAAATCTTATGTTTGGTGGGAAATAGTTCTAATGTGGGGTGATTGCGCGGTTAGTTCACCAACTGCTATTCGCTGGAGCGTTGCCACCAGTGGAACGTTCCCTTGCGACGCCGGCAGTAACTATTGAGATAAAACTGAATTAACTGGGGGGTCCTCCGGGTCCGCCCCTTTCTTCCGCTCCCCTGCCTCCCCTCTACCTCCTCCACCGCCTCTCCTCGTTCCCCTCCCTCCGCCCTCGGCGCCCCCCCCCCATTCGAGTTTGAGGCGGAGCATCAGGTGGTGATGCAGCTTTCAGGAGGCTAAGTTAGCCAGCGGTGAGCACTCAGTCTCGGGGGTGGAGGTGGAGCAGTCACTTGAATGCGTTGAATACGTGAATGTTCGAGTTCGCACTTAATTACGGCGAGAGACTTCATTCATGATGCCCCCTATCTGGAATAGAACCGTTTTACCGCAATGTGGCTCGGGGGGCACTCTGAGAAAAGTCATCTAGGACTAAGCCTAAACAGCAGGACGAACTCCGGAGAATACGAAAATTGCTTCCGTACACCGGAGTTCCTCTCCTCTTCAAAAGCTTAGTCCTAAAACGGAGCGTTTCCGTGATTTTGACGCGATGTTGCGAGTGGTGCCCCCGAGCACATTGCGCGGCCGTACCGATCAGTTGATTTATTGAATCGCTCGGTGTAATTTTTCTCCTTTGCTTTGTCATTTTTCCATTTTGTGTTCTCAGTGTCTATGACATATACTTAGTCCAAGTTGTTTGACAATTTGCATTATTTTCACCATAACAACCTTTTTTTAAGTCTCAATCCTCTGCTTTTAATGGCAGTTTTTTTTTTTAACAGCGAAGGCGTTTGTAGTTAGCTTTGCCATGCTCATTTTTTGTGTTCTTTTTGTGTGAACAGGTAGCAGCTTCTCACCTCCTAGAAAGCAAATTGGGTGGTTAGCCAGCTCAAAGTATTTTTATCGAAGGCAACAGTTTCTCTAAGCAGGGTTGTGTTTATTGCTAGTATTGAAACGGCAATATCATCACTTTCAGATGAGTATTTCTCGCGTTGTTTCCTCTTTGGTTTCGCGATGGGAGGGACTGTTTCTTCTTGGGTTCACGTCTGGTGCTGGCTTCGTAATCTTGGGCTAAGAGTTTAGTCTTCATTCTCAGGGAGGAAGCATTCTTTTCAGGCCGTGTTGCGGTTTATGCTTCTGCAGAATTCGAAAGTCTAAATCGCAAGGGATAAGTATAGTTGCTGTCATGGAAATCGAGGTGTTCTGAGAACTAGTGTTCATACCATCGACATGTTATACACCTATTTTATCCACTTTCCCTTGGATTCCCCGATTCATTTGAAATTGTATGAAATTGAAAAAAATGTTTCGCCAGTCACTTCCGACTGGGTGATTGCCTTCTAATTATTCTACAGACTTGACGTGACGACCGCCGCACTTGGTATAATAGAAGTCGCGCGGATAGGCCATTTCCAACATACTCCGCTGGGAATCGGCAGGGCGAGCCAGAAGCAGCTTATCCACGCACTTCGGTTAAATGGGGTGGCCATTTCTATTTAAGTCAGTGGTGGGCACCACGTCTATGCGGTGACACGTCCTAATCAGACTCGAAGATAACTCAGAGGTCTTTGTAAAAATTTAGTTACTCGGGCCTTCATTTGTTAATGTGTGTGAATATAAATTGGTATTCAGTTATGCAAAATGAACACTGGAATGCATTTCCAAACCATTGACGACCACGCGTTCTAAACATATCTGGCGCAGGGGACTGCGCTCGTGTTTTGCATGGGATACAACCATGGCCCACCGGTGGGCATACTCCGAGGAAACCATTTTTTCCTTTGTGTATAACAGTCAACTGTGCTGTTGAAATCCTGGCTGTCGAGCAGCTGCTTTCTTGCTTAGTTTGTGCATTCAATAAGAGAACAGCGGGGCTAGATTTCAAGATAGTATTGCTTCAAAGGCTATTGCTTGAGAGGTTGTGTGAATTGCCTTGTTGACTGTGCTGATTTTTTTTGTTTGTGTCTCCATTAGGAGAGTATTTGTTTTTGTTACCATCATACGCGAGAAGTTTCCGGATCAGTCTGGGTTGGCTTGGTCTTTTTATGTGCTTTTAGGTGATGGGTGAATGAGAGGCATGCATCTCCTGCCCTATAACGGTCTTAACTCCGTCCAATCTATTGTTCGAGAAAATTTGGATTAAAATAGATAGATTTAAAGTTTGCAAAATTTTGCTTTCCTGCGGCCACTGGGATATCGATGAGTGTCCACATTCCTCAGGTTTTGAGCAAATTTAAAATTTTTACATTCAGATGCGTCTGAGGAATTCGATAGAGACTGATGGTTTCCTTTTCTATAGTCATGTTCTCTAGAAGTTTAAGATTGCACGACACTGAAAGCGCATTTGAACGTTTCAAAACTTGCTTCTCGAAAAGTATTGAAATTACCTTGAAGAGGCATTTTTCTCAAAATGGCTACGTTGTAAATTTCTCGTGCTTTCGCGTTTTCGGTTTCAGTATTCAAACGATCTAACTCTCCCCAAAATCATTTTCTTACAATTTTGTAACTTACACGGGAATCCAGGGTAGTCGGGCTTCCCAATAAATTCTGAATCTGGCCTTGAATCTGCTCCTTTGAAAAATAGTCCCGTTGGTATTTCCGAGGAGGGTGGAGGGGTATGGGTCTCTTCTGAACACACGAGTTTTCGACTTCAGTTGCCCTAATTCTCCCCCGTCTTTTCACAGTTCTGGAGCTTTCATAGAAACCTACGAGACTTTGGCCATAAGCACTGAAGCCGGTCCTCAAATTCAGAATGCAAAATCGTAATTTTTTTCCTTGAGGTTCACGCAGTTTCTTGAACATGCGAGATTAACCTTTAGTGATCAAAACCTCCAAACTCGCTTTTCTTCGAGAATCGGTGTGTCTTGTGGGAAACTACGAGTTTTGTACTTTCCAACGAAAACAATCATTATTTGTGGAAATGTTTTCTGGTCTCAAGACCTCAATCCATCTAACGTTCGCCTGCACCTTCTTTACCCTTTAATTTGGCTCCAAACCATTAGAGTACCTCGGCGATGCAAATCTTTTCGCTTATAATAAATTGTAATGGAACCGTTTTACTCTATTAATTTTCTTCTGAGATGTGTCACACTTTTCATTTGGCATTTGGACGTCTACATAGTGAGCCAAAATTATGCTAACTGGGAATGAGCGCGGTCAAACCCACTTTTTCCGCATCTCTCCATTTTTTCATAGCTGAAGGTTGACTGCGGAAGCCTGTGATCCGCGGAACAAAGAAGACGGAGGCTGATTTCGTGAACAGAAAGTTTGATGACTTTACTCCGAACTTTATTATCAGAGGCGTTGTACCTCGTTCTTATCTTGTGGTGGCAAAATCCTGCCAAGGGATTGGTTGAGTTTTACGATTTTAGTGAAGCGCTTTTCATATGGAACCCCTATAGGTATAATCACGTTTGAATTTCGTAGGACTGAGGGTGCGAAGAAAATCCGACACACAAATTCGGTCGGGGAGAACTTTCACGCCCGCAGCAAACGGTTGAGCGTCTGCGCATTTATTTCAGAGTTTGTCCTGAGTGCATCGAGAGTCCGCTATTCCATTTTTTGGACAGCTATATGAATGCACAGGAGAAACAGATTTGAATACCAACCTTATATCCAAATCTGTCTCTGTTCAGTGATATAATGCTTTGTGGTATGAGTGACCAACACTCCTCGAAGGTTGCTTGTTCTTTTAAGCTCACATCTACTGCTGGCGATATAATGTCTCTATTACCATAATTTAGGCACAGCTTGTATTCACTTCTACGATGGCTTGGGAAGCCATCTAAGCCCATTCCAGTTATTTTGCGAAGGAAGCCGAATTCGCGGGAGCTCCGACCTACATATTAGGTTGATTCATAAATTATAGCAGACACCGATATTCTAATATATTTTTTCCAAATTAAACTTCGATCAGAACGATTATTGCCACTGCTGCCCAACTGCCTTCATCCATTCGCATGTGGGTAGATGCCCACTTCCAGGTTTGTGAACAAATCGCGTTTATATGAATGATCTAAATGTCCGCGTCGGAGGGGTCACATTGTAATTTTCCTCTTCAGAAACAAGCGGAAACTTGGTGAGTGGCCGTAGGACGTTAAGATCAGCTACTTGTAAGAGCGATGAGGGGATTATTGAAATAAGTCGTGCAGTCTATCCGTGTTTCATTATTGAAACTGGCATATTCTGGGCCATGAGTGATTGCTAGAATGTTCCTGGCGCAGCCTTTAGGTGACTTCAGAGAAATGATCTGACACGAGCAAAAGCAGAAAGCACTTGATTGTTTCTCAATTGCGAATTTCATTTGGCAAATGCATCCAATTGTTGTTAGCGCTGCCACCCTTTGACCTCTGATTGCTTTTGGTACTGTTTTATAAAAAAGGCAAAGATCTCCCACGGCAACGCATTTATTTCTAGACGCTTTTTCCAATAGTGCTTAGCGTTGCGGAAAAGTTCTTATGCTTTTCATCTTGCAAGAAATCCTTGGGGGTTCGTTTGAAAAAGGTTCAGTTGAAAATGGTGTTGGGGTGAACGCATAATCAACGCTTTTCAAGAACATTTCTGCCGTTGTATTTCGCAATGGTTATAGTTGAAAAATCTTCTTCCACTGAAAGTGTACTCGGCTGCTTCTGCTCTCATAAATCAGGTCAAGCGTGCGTTGAGGAATCCTCGACACGTCGCAGGGGGGGGGTCGTATTGGCCCGCTGGGTGGAAGAGATCGAGCCATTTTGATGCAGTGGGATCATCACCGTCGGAAGACAAATATCAAGGATGAGTCGATGCCAGGCCAGAGGATTTCCAATGAAAATGATATTTCACCCACACAAAATTTTCGTGATTCTGAGGCGTCCGGTAATTCTTAGTTACTTCAGTGTTTTATCACCACACAAGTTAAAGAATCTGAATTTCGCACGCTTTCCAAGAGATATTTCATCTTTCAAGTAAGACCCCGAATCTGAAGGGATGTGAGGTACACGGCGCATCCGAGAAAGGGTCTAGTTGTTGCGCGCTTCAACTACGGCTCCTTGGACAAACAACCTCAATTCAGGAACAATCGAGAGAATTCTGAAAGTGTCCGTGCGCATTTACAGGGAGGTGTACACCATTCAACATTGCGTTAACGGACTCTTCAGGGTTAAATTTATAAACATGTAACCTTTAAAGTTGAGAAACGCTAATCAATCACTTTTCTTAGAAAGAGAAAAGCAGTGATTCCAAATCTGCTCTTACTTTAGTACATAATCGCCCTTAAAAGGATATACAGCCGTTGAAATAGTGCCAATGTAGCGAAAAAGTACCTTTCGGCGGTACTCGTGCGAAAATCCTCAACGTAGCCGTTTTTTTAATACTGGACGTTTGGAGCAGTTCTAGTAAGCATTTGATAGAGCAAATCTTCTAGTTTATGATGGCGTATTTACTTTTCGGATTGGATGAGTTTGAACGGAGTTATGGCTTTAGGAAGTAAAAAAACTCGCACTCATCACAAATTTTCCTCGTTAATTTTGCAAAAATCCTCAACGTGGCCATTTTTTGAATACTGGACGTATAAGCTGCTTTAGCCGTTTGGTAGAGAAAATCTTCTAGTTTTGTCTGCCATATTAACTTTTCGAATTTGACGAAAATGAAGCAAGTTGTTGCTTCGGAAAGTGTAAAAACTCGTGCTCATCTCGAATTTTCCTCGTTAATTGACCTAAATTTGTTATTTCTTATAACTTTTTGTAATTTCTATACTGATTAGAAAAAGCTCTTCACAAAACTTCCAAATCTGCTTTCAGATTGAAAATTCGTCATATTTGAAGAAAGTTATAATCATTTGAATATTTGTTCAAATTTCAATAGTAAATAAGCTGCTCCACGGTCAACGCCAAAGTCCAGTCAACACACAGCTGGCGAAGGCGGTTAAAAAGCTTCTTTCAACTGAAGGGCTACGTGCAAATTGAGAACCACAATCTGTGTAGTACTAGAATTTGGTAAGTCTTGTGGAGGAAATAAATAAAGAACAGATGTTGTCATAGTATGCCATTTTTAGTGGCTAGTTTGTCGTTTTCTGGTCTGTTTCTCGTTTGCTCGTTTGGTAGGACTCATCAATAATGATTATTCTTTGACTTTTTCACTTTTGTACTTCTTAAACGAATTTTTTTGTGGGCGATGGGGTAGCAGGGCTTTTTTATGAGCAGTTTTGGGGGAGAATTAAACAACTTTTTCATAGTTCGGCTTTTGAAGAGGGTTGTTTCATGGACTTCGGCCTCCGGCGGAGGGTGGTGGGGGGGGGGTCGTATTTCCAAATTTTCCTCAACGCCTCGCTTGACCCTGCTCATAAATCAAGCAAGTGCGTCGATGGGCACGACGCGGCAATACGCCTGGGTGTTGCGATGGAACAGCAGACTGTCTTTCACAACTTGGCAATTGTTTTGTTGGCGAAGTGCAGATACTTGAGAAAAAAAACCAGCAAATCTGGTTGCAGCCTGTTACCACTTGGAATGATAGTTGCTCTCCTGAAACTGTCTGGAGAGGTTCGTGCCGATGAGAGCGCGGTGGAGCGGCTGGGAGAGTTTTTTTCCACTGTTTTCATGGGTAATATCATTCTCAAGTATTAGCGCTCGAAACGAAGTGTTAATTAGGGGTCAAAGGATATTTTGTGACCTAACAGGCTATCACGGACTTCTCGAGGTAAACCATATGCGGAAGCATCACTGACCCGAACCCTGTGTTGCGCCAACCAAAATTTTTACGACCCCCTTCCTTTTCGGAGGGTATCGGTACGACCCCCGTATTAACTATTATGTCTTTCACATAATTTAATGCTCATCATTGATGTATGGGCAGTCACCAACATGGAGAAGTGGTGGACCGTGGTCAATCCGCGCGCTCTGTCTCGCTCAGAGGAGGGAAATCGAGGCAACATGAAGTTTTATTCATTAAATAGAAGGAATTTGTCGGGAAAGTTTTCGCGATTTTGACTCACTAATTCAAAAGCGCATATCTCAGTTCTAACAGAGCGCCTTTCCTCGTAATAACTATTACAATCTCTATACCTTTGCTACAGAAATGCGCTAACTTATCGTTGTGGGAAGTGCATGCGAATGTACAGCACAATTTTCGTTAGCGCTAGTTCAGCGTGTTCAAATTGGAAGTCCGGGATGGGGTTGTGCAGCAGTGGGTAGAAGAGCCGGCGCAATCAATTTTTGACTTCTTTGGGCTTTTTACCCTCACCGCTATGTTCAGAAATCTTATGTCGGTTACGCCAAATTCAAAGAGCAGCCTGTTTCAACAGTTTCATGCAGATCTTTCTTGGTCAAAACGCTCAGCTGATCTTTATCAGTCTCCGATATCACTAATCTCCTTCGAAGCTTTCAACATCGCGAGAAAGACATTTGAATTACGACTGCACAGCGTATTTTTCGTGGGCTTCTGAACCAAATGCTTAGTTGATATCAGCAACTTGCTTCCGCACATTTGAGCAAGTTTGAGGGAAACAAGAAACTACATAGAGCAAAGCAGGCTGTTGAGTATGTTGTATTCAAGACTTCAAAAAAAGTGGAAAGATGATTCAGCGTTGAAAAAACAGCAGATTTGGATAGAGCGAGGAACGCGCTTTCTAACGATATATAAATTGTTAGCAGCTTCTTGAAAGTGACCCTCAGAATAAAGCATTCAAGAGAGCTACGAAAACGGCGGAAACTTTCCGGACACCAATAGAAGGATTTCCAATTTTGGCGTATACCAATACATGATAGTAATCACAGAGATTCTACTTTCAGAAACCTACCAAGCTTTTTCCAATCTCTCAATTCTCCTTATTTTATAATCCGAATAACAAAACCTTGTAGCAACTATGTTACAATACAAACCCCTCCATTCAGAAGGTTATATTTTTCTCCAAAAGCGGTGAGATGGGATACGAAAATTTCAAGAACTTAAAATTGTTTTCTTTCTAAAAATTCTTTTAAAATGTTGCAAATGTTCAATTTCTTCAAAAAATCGTCCCGTTTTCGTTTTTTTTTGTGCACACGCGAGTTTTCGACATTCAAACATTCATAACTTCCTTCATAATCAACTTTTTGCAGATGTTCAAAGGCTAATTAGAAACTAGAGAATAGCGCTTTCGAACCAGTGGCTGGAAAATTTCCAAAAAAAATCACTCTTTCAAAAAATAGTCCCGTTGTTCCGTTTTGTCCCCCTTGATTTTTTCAAGCCATTTTCCTGAAACGCGACTTTGCAATCTTCAAACGTCCATAATTTCCTTCAAAGTTCATATAATGAGAAGCGGTAAAAAGTATTGAAGTTCAAATATGAAGAGTGCTTTACAACGTATGCAAAATTTTCCTGAAAAGCTTTCTTCTGCCAGAATTTCTGAGGAAGTCTCTCAAGTCAATTAAGCAAGTTCTAACTTTCTTCCACTTAGATTTGTTCTGAAGACATCAAGATTCTTTTGAGGAAGTTTGTCTGCTTACGACCGCTGACAGATGAAGCGTTTGAAGTGAAAAAATCCTGCTGGGGTGCGCCGTGCACCTGTATGTGGTCGCAGTCGCCTAGCATCATTCCCCTGAGGCGGCTGATAATATTGTAGTTGCGTTGTGTTGGTGTTTACATGGGAGTCCTATTTTACAACACATTTCACCGCGAGTCCCTTGTATACGACCCCCTCATTGTTCTTGCGCAACGGGTGGTTGAACCTGGTGATCACTAATGTGGCATTGTATAGATTCGCAGGCGGTGCTCAGAAGATCTGCAAGAGCCTATTTCATCTTGACAACGCTCGTAGACCACCATTAGATGCGTTGGTATCAAACCAATTGAAGGAAGGGTAGTTCGATGACCCAGACTACTTGAAGCGGACTTATCTTACTTTTCGAGTTTTCAAGCGTCTCGGAAACTGAGGATTTGTGAACAGCCAGCAACCAGAAAGTACCTGCTGAAGAGCAATTTTGGTTATGATGGTGGTGAATTATCTATCGAGCGAAAGCTGGGTTAGCTGGCAGAGTGGCACGCCGGGAGACGTGCGTTTCTCCTCCTGGGGTCAGGTCACCACAGTTGCGCGATCATTGAAGCTTAAGGTTAAGTTTGGGTTTAGACTTAGGTTAAGGCTTATGCTTACACATTGGCTTATGCCTAAGCCTATGATTGGGCCTAGGCTTAGTCCTAAGCTTGCTCCGAGCGAATGAACGGCGTCTCAATTTTAGGTGACCTGACCCAGGAGGAGAAACGTAGTGGCAAGTGGCACGCTTACCACGCGAGCGGTCCGGGGATCAAATCCTGGGTCGTGAGTCGCCCGGGCCAACCAAGCCTTCCATCCCTCCGGGGTCGGTTAATTGGTACCAGACTTGTCTGGGAGGATAAAAACACTGACTTGTACATCGGCTGGCCCCCGCAAGTCATTGTATAGGCCACATCGCATTCAAACGCCACTACGAATGTACAAATGGAAGTAGAATGCGTGCCGCATCCCAAAAAGGGATTGATCAACGGCAAATGCTTTATTTATCCTTTACGTATTTGTCAATTCTGGCTGTACTAATGAAGAAAAATGCGCTCATTGGTCAATTGTTAGCTGTACTAATGAAGGAAAAATGTTGAAAAAAAATTGTGGAATGCGCGAAATCTTTTTTCGAACCTGATACATGAGAGAGAGTGAAGGGTGTACCAGACTCGGAGGTGCTCACATTACTACCCCTTCTTCGCTTGCTGCCTCTCTCTTTTGATCTGAATGTCCGTTTTCATGGAAATACAAAGATATCACAAGTTTTTCGAGTGTGTGCAGATTGAATAGCCAGTCTTCAGGTGTCACCTACTACTCAGTGTTCAAGAAGAATCAGCTTCAGAAAGAACTGGACGAGTTTGAGAAAACGCTCAAGGATCTTGATGAAATAATTACTCGGGGTACACCTCAAACACTCTGATCTAATTGTCTATAGGTTTAGTTGTAATTTCCGTGTAGTGAGTTTGTGATCCGATTCGAGGCCTATCATTGTTTTCTTGTTATGTTGTCGCAATGTTTTTTCACACCAGAGAGTGCTTATGTAGAATCGGTTATAAATTATCCTTTATTTATTTTTGTCATTTTTGTATCAGTTGGAACAACACAGTCTTGAAATGACATTCACTGCATGAAGAAATTACGAATGACCGGCGAAGAGCTCACCGGCTAAAAAAGCAGTGTATGTGCTGATAAAAATATGACCGTGAGGCACTTTCTGTCTTAAAATCTCCAAATATTCGAAAGTTAAGCAAAGGCTAAGTATTAACATTCTTTTTTGTAGTCAAAATCAATAGTGGTCAGTAGCGAACGTGTGAAAGATGTAACAAACAGGGAGAAGTATGACTGGAAGAACAAAGGAACGGAGGTGAGTTTCATGGTAATGGTGTCATTTGTTGAAGCTGTTGAAATTGTGATAACAACTGACGCTGTTTCTCAGCCAACCGTTCCTGTCGTTCCTCCAATTCTAACCTGAAAAAAATCCTCGTAGAAAAATGGGTCTTCATTGCGCTAATGTGTTCTATGGACTTGATTCAATGACAATTTGATGAACAGATTCACGATATTTCACCTTCGTTCATTGGATTCAGGAGCCGGAGAACCTCGCCGCGCGACTTCTTCCATCAGATTTTTGATTTGCTCCGGAAGTTCTGGTGGTTTTTGGAATTTCATTCGGACATCTTGCACAGAGTAACGGCTTGGTGGTCGAGGTGGGATTCCGGTCGGTGACATCTGCAATTCACTCTTACTTGATTTCCGTTTCGTACCGTAAGGAAATATAAGGGTTATCGATCCGTAACTGAAACTAGAACTGGAGAGAAGCTTTGGAAGAATTTCTAACTGTATGATAATTTTGTTGGAATTGCTGCTGCTGACAATTTTTTCTGCAAACTGAAGAGGTGTAATAATGGGAACAAAGTCCCACAGGGTTTCGAAGAAGTCGGGAAGAGTGACAATTTATTAGTTGAACCAACTGTGCTGTGCATCCGGATTCTCGTGAAAAATGGCCCTCTCTCGCGAAGATAACAATAAGTTTAGAGCACTCCATCCTAAATTCTCTACAAACTGTAGGGTTTTTGAAGAGGAACGGCAAGAAAATCACCTTTGGAAATGAATTAGGATAAAAATTAGGGTAATCAAGGCATTGTCACAAGTTGGTGATTAGTCCTCCGCATCAGACCCTTGAACAAGCCCACGTCCGCTGCGAGAAATTCAACCACCCTACATTGGCTGCATTACTACTGATGCTCTGCTGCGCCAGGAAGCTCAAATATATCCTATATATTAGGTACCGGATATCTTAGTGTCGTTTTTTCACCACGAGTTTCGGACCACCAATATTTTAATTCAGAATCCGGGGAGTGAAACAGCATATCATCGAATGACTCATTAGCACTTTCCCATTTACCAGTATGAGTGGAAACCTCGTACGATTAAAGCTAGGAATTTTTTGAGTCGAAAAAGAGAGGTAGGTCGGTTTTGACATCATCTGACAAATCATCCCTCTCACTTGCTAAAAAGTTAGGCCTGGACAAAAGAAGTATACAGTTAGTTAGAGTAGGGTCTGCACTGTATGGTGGAAAAGTTAAAACTTACCAGCTCAACTGGACAATTTTTCCCGGAGTCTTTTTTGCCACATAGGGTCAAAAACGCACCCTTTTTGAGCACACTTGAGTAGCAGATGAGTCATTTATTAGATTTTCTTGTGCAATCAACTTCGTTTAAAGCGTTTGTGCGTCAACGAAGCACAAGACTGGTGCAGCCCCGTTTTGACTGATTTAGCTAGGACCACCTTTTTGGCGACGGTTGCGGGCATCCCTTCAAAGACTTTACTGTCTTTTAAGAAAACTGTGAAAAACCGATGAGCATTTTAAATGGTAGTATTCCCTCCATCAAATGCAATGTTGGTTTGGTGGGCGGAGGTTACAGCTCTCAGCAAGAATTTTGAAGCATTTGGTACACACATGCGAATTTGCACACTGGACCCAGGAATTTTCAAAAAAAGTATAAAAATTGGGGGAAAGTTAAATTGTGAACCAACAATAGAAAACAATAAGCAACATATTTCGCAGTATTAATGAGCAAAAAGACTTTCTGATTTTCTATGGTAATCGGCCCCAAAACCTTTTTGAACTCAGTCCGGTGCCTGATAGACTCTTGAAATATCGTTAAAATCGTGTACAATTCGAGTTATTGATTAATCATAAGTTAACGAGCGAAAAGGGTCTTCAGGGAGCTTGCTGTACATATTGTGGCGCTTTAGAGGGTAGAAAGAATTTTTTCTGGCAAGTAAATCTGATCATTCACAAACTGGTGGTTGGTTGAAAATCGAATCATGAACGTGGAAAGAATGGATTCGGCGGATCGCTTTCGCTGATAGTGGCTTGAAAAGTATGCCATACCTCTTCTAAGACGACATCAAGTTCGGCTGCAGGAGACGGTTCATTTGAGGGCTGTTGAACGGGCGGTAGCTGTTCAGGCGCGTTTCGTGAGATGTTCGGAGTGAATGGTGCGGCAATTTCTAAGTTGTTGGTGAGCTGATGGTAGCCATTGGTGAGTTGTTGATTTTGAGCAGAAGGATTCCTCGTCTCGTGGTTCTGATTGGGTTGCGGGATAGCATTCGATGAGTTCGATTGTGGATGTTCAGGCTTGGGTGGTGGCGGCGGCGGTGGAGGTGGAGGTGGAGGTGCGGGCGGCGGTGCTTGTGTCGGATTAGACGCCGTAGGAGAAGAAGGCCCAGCGTCCTGAAAATTGCACTTAAGGGGTCAATTCGATTGTGCTCTCTTTTCGTACCTTTTTGGTCCTTTGGATTGTGGGATCTTGCACCATTGCCAGTTTCTTCATCGTCACCATGATATTTGCCAATGCTTTGCACCTGAATTCTTCACATTTGCATCACCAAATAAGGGCGAATCTCCGTAGCGTTTACCTTCTAAGACTCTGGTCGACGGCAGCCGTTTGGTCGCGAATGTATTTCTCGTCGCGGACGATTCGCTCCATGTCAGCCTTGATTTGAGCCTCTATTCCCGACTGAATTGATGGGAATTCCGCTGCAAAAACCGAAATTAGCGAATCAGAAGAATGATGTTAACATCAGCCACTAAGGGACATAAATTTTTCAGCCGACA